AAAAAAAAAAACAGAAAATAGATGTATTTACTCAAAACACAGAACTGTTTCTTTTACATGAGGGGGGGGGCATGTTGCAAAATGATATCCGAGTAACATAAAAAAAAAATGCATGTGGAGGAAGAGAGGAAACAAAAAAAAAAAAGACAGAAGATTGCCACAGAGGCATTTAGATAGTGAGGTACGAATGAGAGAGAGGAGGAAGAGACAGAAAAGGAAGGAGGGGGAGATGGAAAGGACAGAGGGAGGCGGAGAGGGAGAGAGAAAAACAAGGCTAGACAGGGAATCAGACGGTCAGAGTGACAGAGGCAGACTGACAAGCAGAGAGAACAGAATGTGTAGCTGATAGATGACTGCAAGATGCAGAACAAAGGGAAGAGGATGCACTTGTTGTACCTTCTCTTTCAGCCCGAAATATGAAGGTCCGGAGGGACGTGACTACCTCAAACTTGTTGTCACCGAGTCCTCGCACCTGTCTGATAGCGCTGGCCAGGATCATTCCTTTGGAGTACATCTCCTAGACAGAGAGAGACACGTAAACAGACAGGTGAAGAACGCTGCCGAAACGCACACTAAACAGCTAAATAAACACAAGCAGACACGCGCGCAGCTTCACGCATGCTAATAATGTTATTGAATTGTTGCTTATTCCTATTATCTGCATCTCTAGCCCCCACAATTACTATTTTCCAGCGCATTGTTTGCATCAATAGATGTGTAATTCAGAGTTGTATTACCATCGGCGAGGATTGCATTCAATTTGAAACGGCACTGACAGACATCCTCATCAAACCGGAGCCATATCCCATCAATACGCCGTCAAATTTATTTGCAGAAATAGCTGCCCTGTTCCCTTTCAAGCAGTAACTTTGATAAATGGCACAGAGCTCTTGGACAAGAAGCATTTGAATCAAAATGCCGCTGCAGGAATACAAACAGGAAACTTGTGCGTTTCTGAAACGAGCCGCGTGCCGTTAAGCGAGCCAAGTCAGATTTGCATCAAACGTGATCTTTGACCTCGAATTCAAATAGCTTGAAATGTAGGTGCGGGGAAACAGCCCTTAAAGTAAATTGCATGACATCAAAGACAGACGGAGCTGTCATATGGGTGTTGAAAGACATCTACAAGCTGAAAACAAACTTCTCAAGTGTTGAAAAGAGACATGCATGATGGTGGGGAATTGTGGGAAAGCACAGGAAACACTGGGGGCGAAGCGGGATTTGGTTGCGTGTATTGTTTCATTACCGCCATGTTTTTTTTTTCAGCTCTAGCGGAGGCATCCAAATAAGGAGGATGTTGCACTGGAGGCTTCGTGACCCTCTTTGCAGTCTCCCTTGACAATGGCAATTAAACTACTGGGTCATTGTCAATGTGAAAGAGACGGAAGAGGCCAAAAAAAAAAAAAAGAAATCAAACCTTAATATTGTCACAAGGAAGCAAGGACGGAAAGGTGCCGCCATCGAATCAGTATTCAAAACCCGAGGTGTCAAGTGTAACGCAGAAGTGCCCTTAAAGTAGTTGGAAAAATCCAAGAACATCTCCGATTGTGATGTTCTTGCAATAGAGGGGGGGGGACGGCGTATTAGCAGCGAAAATCACTGGGCTGCAAAAAGGAGGGAGAAAAAAGGGGTCATAGCAGACATTGCATTATTCATGTTGATAATGTCATTATCATTGCAAAGTATGAAAAAAAAAACAGACGCGACTCTTTTTTTTCCCCTCTCTCTCTCTGTCACTCTTCAAGAGGATTGACCTGAATTTTGATTCTGTGCAAAAAAAAAAACTGTAATGTTTGCTTCGCTGTTCTCCCACGGTCGCATCCCGCGAAGACAAAAGAGTGCAGAGTAAGGAAGGATGAATAGAAGAGGGGAGGGGAAGGAAAAAGGAAGTGAACTTCTGACTCCTTTCTCGCCATTCTTAATTAAGCCGGTGACCTTGCCGTCCACAAAAAGCCTATTTCTAGAGACCGTGCAGCCAAAAATATACCAGCCAGTGAGGGAGAGCGGGACGGATGGATGGATGGATGGATGGATGAAAAAATTAGGTTCGAGTGAAAAGGCCAAGGAGAGAAGTGAGAGGAAAGACGATCAAAAATAAATGCAGAAGAGGGAAAAAAAAAAAAAAGAGGCGTGTGGGAAAAAGAGACATCATGTAGGAATGAAGATACCTAAGAGGGTCAGGAAGGGGTCCGTCTCATATTAAAGCAGGATGTTAACAATGGCAAGAAGTGGCTCAACCTAATTACCGACAGGCAGCTTGGTGCGTTCGCTCTCCCCGGGAGTTTCGCGCCGATATCTCCCTCTCTAAATTTAGATGGAAGTTAAAAAAAAGGGAAGGTGAAGGGAAAGGAGAAGCTAAGCTAGCTGATAATTATACCCCGGTATGGGTTAACGGTAATTAATTGTTTTAATTCTAGTTTTTTTTTTTTTTGGGGTCACGGAGGAGAGGGTTGTTTAATTGCGAGTTGCGCATCTGTAAATACTCTGACAGCCGAGTCAGCAGAGACGTGGCGGAGAGGAAAAAAAAAAAAGAAGCGGTCAGCGTTGAGATGCACACACACACACACTAACACACACACACGTAATGTTTATGGGCTAATCTCAAGAGGACGGGCTGCCAAGGAAGCAATGAGGCCTAACTATCTCTCTCTCCAATAACAGACACACCTGACTCGCCTTCCCTCCTGCCAACACATCTCCTCCACACTCCCCTCGCTCTGACCTCGTCCCACTCGCCACCTCCTTCGCTCATTTTAGCCTTAACATTAGTCCACCTGTGTCATTTTTTTTTTTTTTTTTTTTTGCAGGGCCCTTGTTTTGCTGCCTATCCTGCATGGATAACTCTTTTTCTTTTTCAAAAAACAACCTGGTAAACTTCAGGAAACAATTAAAGCAGAGCAATGGAGCTAAAGCCTACAATAATGGAGGCACCGTGTGGAGAAAACAGGGAGGAGGGTAAAAAAAAAAAAGGGTGGAGGAGGTTTTTTTTTTTACCACCAGCATTGGAGTTAAGGCTCCGGTATGTGGAAGGATTTTTTTTTTTAATGGAGGTATGAGGACACCAACTGGTTGCTGCGGGAAACTGCATCTCTGAGGAAAATGGGAGACGATGCATCCTCGCTCAGCGTTTCACCACATGCCTGAAGAATACAAACAGATAAAGCTTCCAGGCAAGTCAAGCCACAGCTCTTCATAAACTAGTCATTCTGGGTAAAGCATCAAACCTTATTTTACACACCAATAATCAAATACCAGATCTCCAACAAACGAAGGTGTTCCATCGCGCGAAACGCGTCCATCGCAGCCTTGTTTATTTATGTGCCTTTTTTCCTTAAAAGGATCAGACGAGGTCAAAACTTTCCACTTAAATCAAGTCTTAAGGCAGTCAAGATTTCACAGCAGTCAAATCCAAGTCAAGTCTGAGCCAAGTCCAAGCCCTCGGTTTTGGACTGACGCCTGGCTCCACTTCAAGTGTTGGGTTTAAGGTTATGCGTCGACTCCCAACGGTTGAAATAAAGTTTTTTTTTTCCTTGTTAACATGCCCATATGGTGTTTTTTTTATTATTATTATTATGGTAGACATATCACCGGCGTAATAAATAGTCCGTGCCAAGGTTGAGGAAGTTGAAAATGTACCGGTTAAACACTGAGATAGACTTCTAGGGTTTTACATGAGACAAATATACAAACCAGCACAGGGTGGAGGGTTTCCATGTCATTATTTCGTATGACTAAATTACCAAATATCCCGACTTGGCATCAAGAGTGGGTTCACAAGGTTCGACTAGAGCGGCAGGTGAGCTGGTGTGCTTGGCTGCAGCGAGTAGGGAGGAAGGAAGTTGTAGATCTGCACCATCTACAGGAAGCAATAGTGTCAATTTAAAGGTTTCAAGTGTTTTCATGAGTACTTTGGCAGATTGAAATTAATATTTAGTTGTTTAATGAGGGACTTTAAAGCTGCAGTCATTGATTTTTGTAACCTTTTGAGGGACATCAAAACAAAAAATAAGCATAAACAGCCAGAAAAAACGCACATTATTATCTTCACGCTAACAAACAGCATTGATTTGTGTCTTTGTCCACCTCACCTGGTGGATTTAATATTTACTTCTCGTCCACTCTTGAGCAAAAACATCAAGGTCTTTATTTGATAAATGCTTAACTGTGTCCGTTAGCGGCATCGGCCGGTCTGTATCTCCGCCTGGCATGCGGACAGGTTCCTGCCGGCCGAGACAAAAGCAAAACTGGCGAGAGAAGTGAAAGCGAATCGAAACGAGTTATTTTGTGGGTCACGCAGGCCAAAACGAGTTAGGAGGCATGTCTACGAGCGACCATCTGATACGTTGTTGAACTCAAACTAAACCTGAATTACATCTAATCTTAAACATCCCTAGTTTGACGAGGCGTTTCCAATAAATGCAAATCGGGAAGAAGAAGAAGAAAAAAGAAACAGTTGTTGTGTTACAGTATCAGCATCGTGAAAAGATACTAAGCAGAGGAGCTTCCATTCTTGGCAAGAGAGCTTCTCAGTGTCAGACAGACAGAAACACAATCAGACAGACTGACACTCTGAGAGACTGATCCCTGGTCCTAAAACCTCCTCTCCCCTTTGGCCTCCTATCCAGCCTCATCCTCCCACCCCGCCCCGTCCTCTCATCCCTTCATCCCCTCACAGCCATCCTCCTCACTTCCTCCCCTCGCTACCCTAAAGCCAGGCTTTGGACTATTTTCACAAACGCACACACACACACACACACACGACACAGCACCAGGACCCTGAAGACTACATCTCAGGCCCAAAGCGTTCTCCCGAGTCAATCCCAGTGTTGACGAAATCAGGCGAAAGGCGTGATTGATCAGACAGATTGGATACAATGCTTGCAGAGAGGGAGAAGTGAGACTGAGGATCGAGCTACTCTCCCACGCCACCTCCGCTACCCCTATGATGACATCACGGCGGCCAGAGACCTTCAAGCTGCGACTGTGATTAAGTGCGATTAGTTCTGTCTGGGGCTGACAGATCCCAGAGGATTTCAAACTACAAAAGAGGTTTTTTTTTTCTTTTTTGGGCCGTTGAAAGTTTGAAGAAGAGAAGAATGGCAATGTTCCAGTGTGTAGGCATTTTTTGTTTTTGTGTACGCGAGATAAAACGAAACTGGGGGAACAAAAAGTCTTGAAGTTTAGTGCATAAGCTGCAAATTCTTGCCATAAGATCTTGTCAAATGTTGACAATTTTTTTAGGATTCGAAAAACAGCTTCTGTACTTGTAGCACGTTTGAGTTTACGGTAGAAAAACCAAGTTTGGTTTGTTAGCAATGTTGTTACACTTGCTAAAAAAACTTCCTTGCAAGATTTGGGAACTTTAAAAGCCTCTTCAGCATCTTTATCAGTCTATGACAAGTTCATTCAAGCATTAATTCTGTAATAACTTTGCTTATCATTCGTGGTAAGTGGATAACTGTCACTGCACTTTCTCGGCACATTAACTGTCGCAAAAGTCATGGTGGCCATTTGCTA